AATAATTCCATAGTACAGCTAGAAAATGACAAAACTAATGGATTGTTTCATTTCAGTTTTGGTATCTGTCCTCATATGACAGAAGACAATAAAGAGTTGATACAGGGCAAGGACTTACTTACAGCCTACTATGATGTGGACTATGAGAAGAATGCTAAAGGTTCCAACTATTGGAGAAACAGGTAATAAAAACCATGCTTTTCCTTTGTGTAGACACGTTTACCTATTATATGAACAGTTCTAATTGTCTTGTAGTATGTATGAGTAGAGGAAAATGGGGGCTGGAGAGATGACTCAGTGGTTAAGAGCACTGACTATTCTTCCACATGTCCTGAGTTCAATTCCCAGCAACCTCAAGGTGGCTCACAACCATCTGTGATGAGATCTGGTGCCCTCTTCTGGCCTCCAGGTAGAGCACTGCATACATAATAAATAAATCTAAAAAATGAACCAGTGGCTAGATGCTCTGCTTCTCAACAGACAGGATATTGTATACACGATAACTAAATCTTAAAAAAAAAAAAAAAAAATAAGACAAGAGGAAAGTGGGACTGTGCTGTGGCTTAGTTGGTGCGGAGGTTGCCTAGCATGCACAAGCCCTGGGTTTTGTTCTCAGCACATGTTTGTGCATATATGTACGCGTGCCCACCTAAAACTTAGTGGCACAGGGCTATAGTCTATAAGCATTTAGGACAACCAGAATTTAAAGTTATCCATGTTACATACTGAATTTTGGCTAGTCTGGACTATGATTATTTAAAGCCATAAGGACAACTAACATAACACTATTTACAAAATCTTTTGGACACGAATTCTATGTTCTTTGCTGTACTACATTGACTCCAGGCTTTATGGTGGAAGGTGTAAGTCTGATGTACAGTACACTTAGAACATTGTGCCTATTTCTTTTATGAATTATCAGGGTACGTTTTAACCTTATATCTTAGTTTTATTTAAAAAAAAAAAAAGATGATTCAAAGTCTGTTATTTCTCTTATCTATTCCTCACAGAGTGATGATGGTGGCAAAGAAATTCCTGGATGCTGGACACAAACTCAACTTTGCTGTAGCTAGCCGTAAAACCTTTAGCCATGAGCTGTCTGACTTTGGCTTAGAAAGCACTACTGGAGAGGTTCCTGTTGTGGCTATCAGAACTGCTAAAGGAGAGAAGTTTGTCATGCAGGAGGAGTTCTCGTAAGTTATTACTTGGCGTTGACTAAGGATTTGAATCAAAAAAATCATTAAAGCCTAGACTGGAAACTTAGAGTGACATTGGGGTAGGGGGAACATCTCCAGGCAAGACCTGTGATCATTTTTCTCTGTTTAGGTGATTTCTCACTAACAAAAGGGTGGCAGCTTGCAATTCTTACATAATTCCGTCATTGGAAGTAGTAGGTGGAGGCTGGGCATGCACTTAGAAGTTGGGAGCAGAACAGGGTCATGAATTCCAATGTCTGTCTTTGCATTGCAGGCGGGATGGCAAGGCTCTTGAGCGGTTCCTGCAGGATTACTTTGATGGCAACCTGAAGAGATACCTGAAGTCTGAACCTATCCCAGAGACCAATGATGGGCCTGTCAAGGTGTGTGTTGCTTGAGGTCTCACCACCCATCTGCAGTGGTCTCTTCCTTAATCTTAACGTTGATAGACCTGAACACAAACTTTATTGATGTTTCTTTGTTTTTAATACTGGGGCTCAAACCTACATTAAACAAGTATTCTACCACACAGCCATATCCCCAGCCAAGAAAACCACTATGGGTCCAAGAGGTGGTTCCATGGGGAAAGCAGCTGATACAAAAGCCTAAAGACCTGTTTGATCTCTTTACCCCACATAACAGTGGAAGGAGAGGAGAGTAAATGCCGTAAAGTCTGTATATATTTATGCATATATACACACAATGAATAAAGTTTTTTGTGATTTTTTTTTATTTTATATTTTTATGTTCATTTATGTTTTGCCTGTGTGTATATCTGTATGAGGGTATCAGATCTTAGAATTATAAATAGTTGTGAGCTGCCATGTGGATGCTAGGAATTGAACCCTGGTCCTTTGGAAGAGCAGTTAATACTCTGGACCACTGAGCCATCTCTCTAGCCCCATGAATAAAGTTTTTTAAAGGAAAGAAAACCACTAGGTTTTTAAAAATTTCCTGTGGCTTCTTAAACATAGTTTGGCATGGATGAATATGAGGGTACATACCCATTTTTATGGGTATGTAAATGTTGTAATACAAGTTGGGGTGAGTTAGCTTGTAGGTTTATTTTCAACTTACTTATGACAAGAGAATCTTGCATGTTTTCTAGGTTGTGGTAGCAGAAAGTTTTGATGACATAGTGAATAATGAAGATAAGGATGTGCTGATCGAATTTTATGCCCCTTGGTGTGGTCACTGTAAGAATCTGGAACCCAAATATAAAGAACTGGGAGAGAAAGTAAGTCTGAACCTCTTCTGACTATAACACGGAGCTGGAAGTTTATATATGTTTTAACCATAGATTTAATTAGTTCCTGTTTTTTTCCCCCCCAACTATTGTTTCGTTTGCTCTTAACTCCCTCTAGCCTATAGAGAATTCACAGATAGCCAACTTAAATCAGGCTGATTTTTTTTTTTCCCCCTTTGTAATGTAATACAAGCCAGGTAAATAACTCTGCCTCAGCTTTTTCAGTACTGGAATTACAAGTTAAATTCTTTGTTGTTGGCTTTCTTTAATGTGTGACTTTTTTATTAACAGCTCAGCAAAGACCCAAATATTGTTATAGCCAAGATGGATGCCACAGCCAACGATGTGCCTTCTCCTTATGAAGTCAAAGGGTAAGTTGATGAAAGGTGCTTCTGTTTAGAAATGGAATGTACTTTGTTGCCTAGGCTGGCCTCACCTGAAATCAGATTAACCTAGCTTTCAGCCACCTGAATAGCAACCATTTCCTTGCTGAGAGTTTGGGGGAGATGCATTTCTTAGATTTCTGCAGTCGGTGTAACCCCAATATGACTCCCAAAAATCTGTTATTTCTTACAAGTTAGAGAAAAATAGAGTATAATTTAGGCACTTATGGAGAGTAACATCTGATCAGATTAGAAACCATAGAGAAAGGGATTCTTGGAACACTCAGACAGGTATGTGGTAGGATTGCTCTAAGACCTGAAATTGGTGAACTTTTTTTTTTTTTTTTCTAGTTTTCCTACCATCTACTTCTCACCAGCCAACAAGAAGCTAAATCCAAAGAAGTATGAAGTAAGTGCATTGTCCCATTTTTATGTGCATTCGTGTTTTGCCTCTGAGGGTGCTAAATATCCTAGAACTGGCATTATAGACAGTTGTGAGCTGCCATGTAGGTGGTGGTAAATAAACCTGCGTCCTCTGGAAAAGCAGCCATATTGCCAGCCCCGTACCTAGTTCTTTCATTGGCCTGTTTATTTACTTTGGTTGGGGGGGGGGCAGTAGGAATGTGTGTGAAAGTCAGAGGACAGCTTTGGGAAGTTAGTTCCCTCCTCTTGTCATTTGAGATCTAGGGATCAAATTTTAAAAAGTTAAAATAACCTTTTTTTTTTTTTTTCAGGGTGGCCGTGAATTAAATGATTTTATTAGCTATCTACAACGAGAAGCTACAAACCCCCCTATAATTCAAGAAGAAAAACCCAAGAAGAAGAAGAAGGCACAAGAGGACCTTTAAAGCAAAGCCAAATGAGCCACTTTGTAAAAGGACTTTTAACCAGAGATGGCAAAACCATCAGAGGACAGAATGGATATACTCTGAATCCTGTTAAATTTTCTCTAAACTGTTTCTTAGCTGCACTGTTTATGAAAATACCAGGACCAGTTTATGTTTGTGGTTGGGGGAAAAAAATATTTGTGTTGGGAAGAATGTTGTGGGGGTGGGGGGAATTGAGTTGGGGGTTATTTTCTAATTTTTTTTGTACATTTGGAACAGTGACAATAAATGTGCCCCCTTTATACTGTTGTGTTTTTTCCCCTCTTGGAATGGAGAATCAGGGTGAGAGAAATGTTTGAGATGTTGATCCATGCTGTTCAATACTTGTAGCTAAGACAGGCATATCAACACGCACCTGTAGTCCCAGCAATTGGGAGGTAGAGACAAGAGCAAGTTTGAGGCTAGCATCTTGAAAAACAATTTTAAGTCTTCATAGTACCTGCTACGCTGATCCTTGCAGCCTCAGACAGACTTGGTCCAGTTACCATCTCTTAAATCTTTTTAATTTCTCAGACTCCTTTTGAAGCCCAGGCCTTGAGCTTGTGACAGATAGTCCTTGCTAGTCAGCCCCCAGGTGCTGAAATTACAGTTGTTCTGGATACTGCTTATCTTTGCCACGAAGCCAAGCTTTCTGCATGTACATATCTCCTGAGGATTGTCCTGCCCAAATATGCCCTGAGCAAGTGTGACATCAGTTTGAGGTTCCATCTAATTTGTTTGAGAAATTGTTGGTACTGCTAGGTGCAGGTCTCCCCAGATCTTTGGTGTAGCCATTAACTTCCAGTGAAACAGGGAAACATGTCATCATTGGCATGAAGAGCAACAGCCTACAGAGAGATGTTGGTTTTTTGAATGAATTAAAATATGGCACTCCTGTTTTTTACAGCTACATCAGACTCTTGTCCGTAATTGTAACTTTCAGCCCTGGATAATTCTAGATATATAGCCCTAATTCTACGTGACTAACACACAAAATGAAACATCTTAATATAATTCCTTGTATTTTCAGTATGTTTTTGGTAGACCTTGATTTAAAAAAAGGCACATCTGGATCATACATAATGTTTTAAAAACATGTTGGGGGTGGAGGAAGGTAGTGTTGCTTAGTGGTGGAGCATGTATCTAGCAGAAGTAAGCACAGCAAGATGATCATAATTGTGGAGGCTCCAGTTAGTAACTCTTGGGCTGGAACATGGTGATTCAGTCTTTTAGAGAGCCTCGAGGGAAGTCGATACACAGCATTGCCTTGGATGATTAAAGTTAATGATCACACAAGACACAGAGCAATTGGTTTTCACTTTTCAGTCATGTTACTACAGTACATGAGTAACACCAAGCCCTCTTTCCCTTACATCTAGGTATGCTGTAACACAAGTTCTCATTTTGTTCCTGCAAGGCCACTCAGCTAAACTGTGTTACTACTCTCAAAGTGTGTGTTGACCTGGAAATGTCAATTTTCAGGATCTGAAAATGACTTTCCTGAAGTAAAGTTGAAGAAGCCAAGCGTATGCTATTTTTTTAGTCTCCTGGGCACAGCTGAGGAGACTTGACTCCATGCCCACACCCTCAGAAATTTATGGCAACAACAAAAATCAAACTGCAAGAACCTAGCATGACTCTCTACTTGCCACCTTGGACAGAAAGGTCAAAATCAGAAACGCTAATGTGCTTCACCTGGTGGCTATTTTGTTCATCACTGGGGACAGGCCCAAGAGTCCTCTGAATAGTTTCAACTGCCCCTGTTCTTTTCCTCAAATTCCAGGATGAGACCTTTAATGTGGGACAGTTTCTGATGCAGGTACTCACAGCGATGCTTCTCTTCCCTGTAACATGGATACCGCTGCAGAGAAAAAACACTTGTCAAAAAGTAAAGCGACTTGCACCTTAAATGCTTCTGACTCAACAGCCTTTCTTACCTTTCTGAACTTCCTATACTCCTGGACTATTTTATCTTCTAGCACCTGAAACAAACAGAACTATGATTCAAAATTGCTGGGAAGGGAAAAAAGGAAAAAGAAATGAGAGTAATTTCTGATTTCATTCTACTGAATGTTACAACAGGTTTGCTTGTTGTCCCTTTGCTTAATCACTAAACAAAGATGCTTCTGGGTAATTAGCAGGAAGATAATGGCCAGTAAACTAGAACCCTGCCTTTTACCTTGTGCTCTGGAGTTCCTCGCTGAAGTCTCTTCATCTCCTCCCCGAGCTCTGTGAACCTTTGGCTGGCAGCCCCAACACGGGCATGCAGGATTCGGTATTCAGCATAGTCTGCCTCAAAGTCCTGTTCATAGGCCTGTTGCTGCTCTGCACTGTGGATGGCACTGTACTGCCTACAGGAGAAATGACACCTTCAACTTCATTGCCAGCCCCACCAAAAAAGCCCTTGGCTGCTTCCATACACAAACTTTATGAAACTAGAAGTGTGGGGAACTTACAAGAGATAATCTGGTACCTCCTCAGGGCTTGGGGATTCAGAGGCTAGGAAAGAAACAAGAAAACAAATAATTGTGGGTCTTTTTTCCACTAGTATTCACCCTTCTCTCATTAACTCACCTGCTTGAACTGAGAGACTCTGCTCCAGCCTGGAATCTCTATCTTCATCTTCTTCTGGCACCCAGTTTTCTCCCTCTTGCGATTCCTGATTCGATAGCCCTTGTAGCGGACTTGGGGCTAGAGGTAAAGCTCTGAGCCTCTTTTCTTCTGGTTCTTCAGTGGTTATAGGTGCTGAACGTTTCTGTTGAGAAAAAAAAAATCTGTAACAAACAGCAAGCTAGGAGGTTCTTACTTGTTAAGTGCTATTTAGCTGGACGGTGATAGCATATGCCTTTAGTCCCAGCACTCAGGAGGCAGAGTTCAAGACCAGCCTGGTTTACAAAAGCTAGTCCCAGGACAGCCTCCAAAGCCACAGAGAAACCCTGTCTCAGGGGGAAAAAACAGAAGTGCTATTTAAAATAATAATAATAATAATGTGCTGGAGAGATGGCTCAGAGGTTAAGAGCACTGGCTGCTCTTCCAGAGGTCCTGAGTTCAATTGCCAGCAACCACATGGTAGCACACAACCATCTGTAATGAGATCTGGTGCCCTCTTCTGGCCTGCAGGGATACATGCAGACAGAACTCTAAATACATAATAATATTAAAAAAAAAATTCTTGTGTTCTTGTGTATGTGCTAGTGTGCACCCTCTGGAGGAGTGTGCACCCTCTGTCACTCTCTGCCTTATTCTCTCACTAAGCCTAAAGCTCTATTTTCCTAGTTCCTAAGATCTACCTGTCTCCATACCCCCAGGCATACGACATATTCCCCAGCTTTTACATAGGTGCTGGGGATTCAGACTCAGTCCCATCCTTATGCTTGCACATTAAAACAGTAAATGCACTTGGTAAATCACCTCCCAAGCCTTTTTTTTTTTTTTTTTTTTTTTTTTTTTTTTGTTTGTGTTTTTTGTTTTTGAGACCAGGCCTTAGGTTGGTAGTCCAGGCTGTCCTCAAACTCACTACGCTGTGTAGCAGAGCATGGCTTTGAACTGATCCTTCCTGTCTCTGGAGACCTTTCTTATAGGCATGTGCCAGATTTTATGCTGTACCAGTACTGCATCAGCCAAGCTACATCCCCGGCCCTTTAGACTACTCTTTGAAAAGCTTTGGCTTCTCTGGACATGTCAGTGCGTGCCTTTAATCTCAGCACTCAGGAAGCAGGCACAGGTGGATCTCTGAATTTGAGGCCATCCTGTTCTTCATAAGGAACTCCAGTCCTGCCAGGGCTACATAGTGAAATCCAGTCTCCAAAAGGGGAATGAAGTCCTTGCTTACCTTGTCCAGGCGTTTCTGGCTGGCAGGGGAAGGCAGTGGCTGGTCGAGCTCTCTGTTTGGAAGATAGGTGTGGTTCCTAGGATTTTTGGAAGGAATGGGAGAGACCAGGGTGAGACATGGGCCTCTATTTTACTTACAGCATGCAAGGGTAGAGAGCAGGCACAGCATGTCCCAGTACCTCACTTCCCATTGTGCCATGGGCTCACTGGAGGATCCTGGGAGAGACAGTTCATGGTTGCTTGCCAGTGGATCAGACCCCTGTCGGTGGAAGTTATAAGATCACTTGGCTCCCTGGACCAGGGTGCTTCACCTTGTGCTACTCCCCTGCCGTTTCTGGCCTCACCTCTTCTAGTGTCATCTGGGGATGGCCTTCAGGGTCATCTCCTGTGTCCTGCCAACTCTCAGACTCTCTGGTATCTTCAGTCAGGTGTTCCTGAGCTAACAATGGAGCTGGGATAGTATCCATGGCTGCCCAAATAGTGAGTCGCTCTCTAAGTGAGCCCAGGCAGTGGAGACAGTTAGGCCCAGATCTGGACAGAAGTGGTGGTGAAAACAACAGAAAAATGGGTTGAAGGTTTTTGGGGTTTTTTTGTTTGTTTGTTTTTTTTGTTTGTTTGTTTGTTTGTTTGGTTTTGTTTTTTGAGACAGGATGACCTCAAACTCACTGAGGTCTGCCTGCCTCTGTGACAACATGCACCACTACCACCCCGCCTTCTTCCCACTTTCTGCAAACTTCTACCTGTTGTCTGTTTTCTCTTACCTGCCTAAGCGTTGGTACACAAGGTCCAAGCCACCACTAGTGCCCTCTTGGCCACACTGTGATACTATGAAGGAGAAGAGGCAGGACCATCCAGGGCCTGGGAGCCTTAGATACTGGGGTAGAAGGAGATGGTAAGCCCCCCGCTAAGTCGGCCCCTCCTCCTCCTGCCCATGCCATTACTCTCCAAACAAGTCTAAAACTGAATTCAGATCCCAAGGGGCTCGTTAGCGCACCAGGTGCAGCTGGGTCAGAGTTCCCCAAGAGGATAAGAATGATCAGCCTCCTGGGACCATAGCCCCATCAACCCCTCACCCACCTAGGGTTCAATTCTCACCTTTTTCAGACCGTGACCACTAGCAAGCTCCGGCCCAGAGCGCACCTTCCCGGAGCCCACATTTATGCTTCCTCACCCTCAACCTCCCTCACACATCCGGCCCGCGCTTACCCCTCGTTGGCCTTGGAAAGCAATCACTGGCCGTACCTGCGGGAAGAGCCCAAGCACTAGCTGAGCACAAAGAAAGCAAAGTTCCCAGGAAGGAGGGTTGGGGGTGGGGACACCTGCCTGGCGGGCTTCACTTGAAGAGGTGGGGGAGGCTGAACCCTGCATATGCCGCTCCTCCCCTTTCCCTTCTCCAGTATAGCGGGCTGAGGCCGAGTCTGGTTGATCGGGATGGGAAGAAGAGGTTGGGGGCCAGCCGCACCTGTTGCTGCTGACACTCTTGTAGCGCCCGTAGCGCCGCCTCATTGAGTCTGAGCATCAGGAGGCTGGTCCGAGCAGCAGGAGTGAAAAGGAGCCGCATTTTCCCACTCAGAGCTTCTTGGGTCCCCTCCATGGTGCCAAAGTCGCGCACGAGCAGAACTGAGACCACAGGCCAGGGCCACCTCTGCCACCTCTGCCGTGCAAGCCTAGGCTGGCACTCCCACTGTCCCGGCCTGCCCCGCCCTCCACTAGGACCCCGCCCCCGGCAACGCCCCAAAGTTTCCCCAGCCGCGTGGGCGGTGCCTTGCTCTCCCCAGCCTCCTGCCGGGACCCAAGGGGTTGCTTCTTGGTTTGGCTTGGCAGTCTTGGACTTTTTGAAGGGTACCTCCAGGGTCTGACCCGTCACGCAGAAACCCTTGTTCTGTCTCAGTTTCCCCACTCTGGGTTCAGAATCGCGGTCTCTAAGTAAAAAAATTAACCTGAAACCACTTGGGGGTTTAAGTCCCACAGGGGAAGGAGATCGAGGCCGGTAGGTAGACGAATTGAGTCATTTATGCTTCCAAGGCTCTGAGCCCGAGGGACCCAGGAGGCTAGAGGATGGCAGGCCCCAAGTGCAGCGAGCGCTTTTTCTCTCCACTACGATGCTGAGGCGGATCCTAATCCAGCTTCTAAGTGGGGTTTAGAGAGGTTATAAAGCCAGGTGGATGGGTGTCTCAGCAGGTCCTGGAAGCCTGGCTGTCTGGGGGTTGCCTCGCCTATCGGTGGGTGGGGATGTGGGGCATAGTTGGTGGCAAAAAGAATTGCAGGGCAGAAAGCCACAAAGTCAATCCCAGTTGTCACTTCGTGACCTAATAAACGTAAGTGAAAGTGGCTAAACCGGCAGCTGGCTCCTTCAAAAGGTACTTTCCCCTCCCCGTTGTTTGTTGTTTGTTTTAGGGAGGTTTTAATTCACAATGTAGATCACTGTTGCTGAATTCACTAGCGATTCTCCTGCCTACGCGAATGCTGCGATTGCAGGTGTTAGTCACTACCCCTGACTAAAAGATGCCTTGAAGTTACCAGGCATCTCAGAACTACAGATCCTATTGCTTTGAGACCCCAGGACAAATCTCAGTAAAGTCTTTCTTGTCTCCACCTGTACACATTTGGTTGTTTCTCAGAATTTCATATTTCCATTTTCATAACCGGGATCTCTGTTAAATGTTTCGACCTATATAATTCCAAATGATCTTAATGTTATACGTGGGGGGGGGGGGATCTCAGTTATATTGATTTTTTTTTTTATCTTTGCAACAAGTTGCCAACAGCAACCACAGATACATTTGCCTATCCATTGGACCATTCTTTTCTATGGAGGATAATTTGATTAACAGTTGTAAGTAATTTCCTTTCTTTCTTTTTTTTTTTTTTAATTTATTTATTATGTATACAATGTTCTGTCTGTTTGTATCCCTGCAGGCCAGAAGAGGGCACCAGATCTCGTTACAGATGGTTGTGAGTCCTGTGGTTGCTGGGAATTGAAGTCAGGACCTCTGGAAGACCAACCAGTTAATGTTCTTAACCTCTGAGCCATCTCTACAGACCCTTGTATTCTTCTTTCTTTCCTTCCTCCCTCCCCCTCCCTTCCTTACTTCCTCCCTCCCTCCTTTCCTTTCTTCATTTCCTCCCTTCCTCCTCCTCCTCCTGCTTCATCTTCTTTTTAGAGACAGGGTTTCTCTGTACAGTCTTGGCTGCCCTGGAACTCACTCTGAAGATCAGGCTGACCTCAAACTACAAACTAGGGGATCAGCCTGTCTCTGCCTGCCAAATGCTGGGATTAAAGTCCCATGCCACCACATCTGGTTTAGAGTTATGATAGGTAAAGCCGATCACCTGGGTTTTCTTTTCTTAGATGATAGCTTGGACCTTTTGTAAGATTTTCCTAAATTTAAGCTCAAAAGAGAGACTAAGCCCTTGAACTCCAACTCATGGGTAGAGTGCTTGCCTAGAATAACGCATGAAGCCCTTAGTTTCCCAGAACACACACAGGCACGCACACACTCACGCACAGGTGCGACTAAAATGCAGGGCAAGTCATATGGCAAGTCATAGGATAACTTGTACCCAGGCGTTCAAGATCAATCTAGGCAACAGAGATGCCCTCATTTCAAAAACAACTAAACCAATAAATAATTCAAGAGAGAATAGAACATTAGGTAGCTAAGGAAGATATGTGAAGAATGGAGATAGAGATCTGACATTTGAGCCAGGTGGTGGTGGCACACGCCTTTAATCCCAGCACTCAGGAGGCAGAAGCAGGCAGATCTCTGTGAGTTCAAGGCCAGCCTGGTCTACAGAGTGAGTTCCAGGATAGCCAGGATTACACAGAAAAACCTTGTCTCAAAAAACAACAGCAACAAAACAGAATACTATTGGTGAAATGGTGAGGACGAAAGCCTGACTTGAGGCTAAGGATATAGCTCAGTGGGTGCAGAGCCTGTCAAGCATGCAGAAAGGCTCAATCCTCAACGCATTGTAAACTGACATGGTAGTGCATGAATGTCACTTTGGTTCTTAAGACACGATCTTTCTATGTATCTCTGATTGTGATCAGGCTGTCCTTGCAACTCATGAAGGCTGCCTGCTTCTGCCGCCTAAATTCTGAGATTATAAATGTGGGCCAGGAACACATGATTTCCACCATAAACATGGTGAGTTTCAACTGCCAGTACTTCTAGTTTCAGGCATCAGACACTCACGTGGTCCAAATACACTCAAGGAAAGCACTCACACATTTAAAATATAATAAAATAAAAAGACAATGGAGATGCCAAGCCAGCCGTAGTGGCTCACCCCTGGTATCTCAATAGTTTGAAGGCTGAGACAGGAGGATCCCAAGTTCTCTGTGAACAACTTAGTGAGACCCTTACTCAAAACAGAAAGTAAAAATCCTGGTCCAGTGCAGTGAGAGAGGCCTTAGGATCCATTCTCAGTCCTGGGAAGCAGAGAAGAAAATAAAAGAACCCAGTCCTCCCAAACCTCTTTTCTGCTTCACAAATATGCATATAGTTCCTCTTTATAATGTTCTAATGTTATTTTTTGTTAAACTTTTTGTTTGCATTAGTATCGGTTTTAAAAAAGTATCTCTATTGTCCTTCACCCATCACTATTTTTTCTCTTGCTTCACTTTTTTTCTTTCTTCCTTTCTTTTCTGTTGAGGGAATTCTTTCCACCAATAGCTTCAGGTATATTTTCCCCACTCCCCAACACATTTCTTTCTTTCTTCCTTTTTCCCCTTCAATTCCTTCCTTCCTTCCTTTTTCTTCCTTTTCCTTCTTTGTTGTTGTTTTTGAGACAGGGTCTCACTGTATAGCCCTGCCAGGAACTACTATATAGCCCAGGCTGCCCATGAACTTCAGATTTTACTGACTCAGCCTCCAGAGTGCTGAGGATACAAGTGTGAACTACCATCATACCTGGCTCCCTAAATACACCATGAAGCTGCTGTTTTCCCCCTGTGCTCCTACCATACCTGTTAGGTTGCTATCTTATCTTCCCTGCTGTAACGGCATTTTTATTTTAATGGCATCCTTTTATGGGAACAAACTCCCTTGCTTTTATAAATAAAATAGTTATTCTTGTGACTCTGCTTACATCTTGCCCTGGTATGCCTTGCTGTCATTGTGTCACTGCCCTTACTACCTCCTTGACCTAGTTTCATAGGCAACTTATTACCTATTCACTAACCATGACTCTAGATGGGACAGCCTGAGGGAGCAGAGCCTTATGGCCCTCACATGCTGTTCCCTCTCCTGAAGTGTGTTTCTTGCTCTCTCCTTGGCTGTGTCAGTTCTCCATCTTCTTGCCTTAAGTATAACATGAGAGACCTCACTGGCCCAGATCAATTGCCTATGGAACCTACAAGTTTACTCCCTGCATAAAAGCAGCCATTCTATTGAGTTACTTCATACTGAGATGAGTAAAATTGTCCAGAGTCTTCATTCAAATTATACTGACATCTGTTTTGACGGGTCAGTGCTTACAGTGTGCACCATGAGAAATATTTTGAATATCACCCTTGCATATAATCTGGTTTTTCTTTATAGTAATTGTCACAATCAATTTGCATAGATCTACATGAGCACACATAGTGTGGAGAGGGAAATCACCTTTTCCTTTCTATAGCATATTTAAAGTTACATTTCTTTATAGTGTGGATGAGCGTGTACTATGGCATTTGTGTGAAGGTCCAAGGTCAGTTTTCAGGATTTGGATCTCTTCTATTGTTGAGCCTTCTTATCAGCCCCCTGAGATATATTTTGTTCATCACTGTGTATGCAACACCTCATAAAGTAGTTAACACATAGTTAGTGGACAATGAATATTTATTGAACAAAATAAATGAATCTATTATGGCACTCACTGCTGAAGCTGAACTGGAGATAAGACTATGAGGCTAGGTTTTGCCAGGATTGGTAATAGTCTTGGGCAAAGTACATAGGTGGTGTGGTTGGTAGGAGGGGACTGTTTGCTTCGTGGTTCTGTTCCTTTACTCACCTGAACTGCTGGAATTAATAAGCAAACCTCTCTCCCTCTCTCTCTCAAGGGTACCCAGTGTAGCTTTCCCCATGCAAGCCAGGTTTGGAAAGCTTCATAGACCCTTTCCTCCTACTCTATTTTGTTCTTTCCCCTTAATTTTGGGGATCTTTAAACCTTCCTCTTCATCTCTTTGCTTCAGAGCCTTCAGCCCTAAATCATCTCAATGTATTCTCTAAATTTCTACTCTGTATTGAGTTTGTTTATCCACTTTTATCTTGGTACTTGGGATGGAGCCTGGGGCTTTGAACATGCAAGGCAAACACTTCACCTCTGAGCTGTCTCCCCAGCCCCTTTTCTAGTTTTTTATTTGCTTGTTTTTTTTTTTTGTTTGTTTGTTTTGTTTTTGTAACAGGGTTTCTCTTTGGCTTTGGAGCCTGTCCTGGAACTTTCCCTCTATAGACCAGGCTGGCCTTGAACTCACAGAGATCTGCCTTTCTGACTTTGAGTGCTGGGATTAAAGTTGTGTACCACCACCGTCCAGCTATTGTTTTTTTCTTCTTTCTTTCTTTCTTTCTTTCTTTCTTTCTTTCTTTCTTTCTCTTTTTAAAAATATGAGTGAACTATGGAGGCTGGAAGAATGGTTTAGCTGTTCAGAGCACTTGTAGCTCTTGTAAAAGCTCCAGATTCAGTTCCCAGAATC